TTTTTTTAAAACTCAAAACTTCATATTAAGTAGGTTAGAAATGTGAAACGCTGGATTATTCTAAGCCTTGACTTTAATGTAGTTTGTGACATTGATAGTGAAAAAGAGCCAGCATTGTGTTTGCTTTCATTTATTAATCTGTTGTATTTGTGTTTCCAGCATGCTGCGGAGCAACCAGATCAGCTGTATTGACAACAGCACCTTCACAGGTCTGAGCTCCGTCCGTCTGCTGTCACTGTATGACAACAGGATCTCCAGCATCGCCCCGGGATCATTCTCCACCCTGCACTCCCTGTCCACCATGTAAGCCACATCCGTCACAATCTCTTCTCCTTTTTGTCGCTTATTTTCCTGTTTTGCTTTTTCATTTCCATCCCATCATTTATCCCATCTCTCACTTTGTGTCACTATCTGTTTGTGTCTGTCTTCCGATCTCACTGCTTGTTTGTCTCTCATTATCTTCCTCCATCCTCTAATTTTTCATAGCCTTGCTGTGGGAGTTGTCTTCCAAGCAACACACACACATTCCCGCCCCAACGTTTGCACACATGTTCTCTGGACACGACTCTCCTCACAGATGCTCTCCATCATTATCGACTAGATTGGTCTGAATCCCGGGGCATTTGTTATCAAAGCTAAATATTTTTCAGCATCTGCACACCCACATTGGCACACAAGACCAATTGCAAGCTTGCTGTTATCTTCCCAAAGATTCACAACTGCTGCTTCTAGAATCGGTGTATTCGTTTATTCGTTTATCTGCTTGGTGCATGTTTTTTTCAAGCGTGCTTTAATTTGTGTGTTGCTGATTGGTATTAAGTCTTTACACAGAACTGCAGATAATAACTCTAATCCAATAAAACTATGATAACCGTCCACCTACCATTTTTCTTAGGACAAAGAGACTGAGAAGTGAACGAGTGTTTTTTCTTCAATCACTTGACCACTCATGTTGTAAATAATAGATTTTATCAGGTTAATAAAACATGAAAGGTTGATTCTTTTATTCCTCACAAGGTAGACAGACTTCTCACAAAAAGTCTTCTCACATCCTCTCTGCTGTCGTTATTTCTCTCTGTGCTTCCTTCCCTTGTTCCACCTTTTGTTCTTGCTCTCTGTCCTGCTGTGTACCTGTCATCTCTGATTCAAGTTCCTGCCTGACTCTTTTGGGAACAACGATGGAAGACATGAAAGGGAAAATGTGGACACAGAGGATGAGGACAGATATATTTATTGTTGCATAAAGTCTCTCGGTGTTAATAATTATAAGATATTAAATTTCATTCATCCTTTGACACATTAATTCTTTGTTTCAGCGTGTTTTTCGCTGTTTTTGTTGTAACACTTGATTTGTATTCAAACATCTGCTTGCTGTCTGGCATGAAAGAAAGATGGATAGTTTTTATTTCTACACCCTCTGTGCATTCCCCCCCCCTATCTTTCCTCGATTTCTCTCTCCCTCCCGCTCTTTCGAATATCTGTCTCCATTCTTAGTGCTTCGTTTCCCTATAGAGTTTGTCCATGTAATTAAAAGATTAACACGCTGAAAGGGAAGGAAGGGATTTAGCTTAGGTTTAGTTGCCATGCAGTGAGGTCAATTCATTACAAGGAAATGAGTAAATAACTTGTCCCTATCTGTGGCAGCACCCCATTAATATTATAGCGCATATAGCAGCATTTAGGTTTATTAGTTTAGCAGAGGACAACGTGAACAGCAATGTGACACTTGCACATCTTTAGACACAACATGGGGACTTTCTACTGTACCAATGGTTATACTTCACAAAACTGCTTCCTTAAATTTTCTCCGGTACACCACCGACTGTAACAGCATCCTTAAATCTCTTTTTCTGTGTAGCTCACTGTTGATATTTCTGAAAGACGTTGCTGAATGTTGTTGAATCCAAATCACTGGCAGTGAGCTGAGAAGAAGATGCCAGGGGCCAAAACA